AGGCCATCGCTAGCAGGTTGGAGGCCATCGCTAGAGTGGGTTGGAGGTCTATACATGGCAACCGCCGAATGAAGATCACACTGGAACATAAGCAGTAAAAGCGATCCAGACTCCAGCCAATAGTCACGGATAGATTTTTTTTTATCACAAGTTGATGTTCTTCACAACTGATCCTTGTGCAAGGAATTCTTATGAAAATAATGCCAAAATGCATCGCTCTGTCTGACTCCAAAAAAGTATACCAATCCCCAAGACAGTGCCCGAATCGATGCGAACCCCCAGGAACAGTGCACACAAGCTCAATAAGTTAAACAAGAAGAATCGATGCGACTCAAGGCAGCTGAGCTGTTTGTGAGCTGAGCTGTTCTTTTCTGTTTGGCTCCCGAATATCGATGAAGAATCAGATCAAGATGGCGGTTTGGCGTCTGAGGATCCGCGCCCGATGGTCACTTCGCAGGAGTCAACCCAAAGGAGTTGTGAAGCGATGGAGCGGATGCTGAAGCCCTCGGAGGGCCCAAATTGACTTCCCAAGTGTTCTTTCTTTTCCGGAAAAGAACGAGGCATAGGCTTCTGTCCTGTCTAGCTCGCAACTCCATTTACGGTGTTGCAAGGTTGGGGTGCGATAGGCTGTAGAATGTAGATGAAGGTACGGCAAAATGCGAAACGTCGAGTTCTTGTTGAATTCTGGGGGTGCGCCACATGGATCGGCCAAGGAGCAAAGGAGCGCAGGGATGGGATGATCTCGGCCGACAAAAGCAAAGGAATAGGAACAATCAACTTGCTCAAGGTTCGGAAAAGACACACATGCAGGTGAACAACAAGTTTGATAGTTTTTGTCGTACTTCTCTTTGACTCAGCTCCGAATGCCACAAAACTCTCCACCCTCCACACTGCCACCTCGCTACAAGTACCATACGCTGTGCGTTTCGACATTTACATCCGATTTCGCGTTTTGTTTTTATTGATCACCTTGCCCACGTCACAGGAAGACTCCTCAACTTCTGATCGATTCTATTCTTGAGTCATTTTGGCCAAATTAAGAAGGCACTTGAAACAACAACTTGGGCAAGCTTTATGCCACACCAGTTGTTTCATGTTCACCAGCCATATCTTGTCAAGCAGCAGAAGCTGGGCGCGATCCTTCATGCGGCAGAACTGGCACAACCTAAAGCACTTCGAAGTACTTGGTGTCACAACAGCTTTGTCCGTTTTGATGTCAATTGAGGCCCAAAGCACTATTGGATTTCACAGCAATTGTCGAAAACAATCACATCACACAGCCCTCTGTTTGTAAACTGACTGTCAAGTGGCCAAAGGTGGCTCCGCAACCTCCTGAAAAGCGGAAAGGTCTAAACGGGAATCGCAAAGCAGAACGCAAACCATCAAAGCACCTCCACAACCTTGGAGACTCTAACAGGCCAACAGTGACCAACGTCTTACAGGAGCTTTAAGTTTCAATTGCTTTCAGCGTCCATGGCAACGGGGCAATTGCTTTCAGTTTCACCTTATTCCTTTTTTCTATCTTTTTCACCTTCTTTCACCTTCTTCGTTCACTTCTGTCACCAATTCGCCCATCGAGAGAAGCTCAAACCGAATTCTCTCGGCCTCCATGGACTCAGTGGGCTCTCGTGCGAGTGGCTCCTCCTGACCAAATCTCGAGTGAATGCTTCCATCCGAAGTTGGGTTAACAAGAAGCAATGTTCGCTACTAGTAACAAAGGGCATCGCTACTAGGAGCAAGGACGCTACTAGTAGCCCTTGGCATTACTACTAGTGACAAGAAGCTACTAGTACCTTCTTGCAGATTCTTGCAGCCTGCTTTCAGTGTTTAGGGCTATGACGACCTCTTCCGATTGACGCTTTCACAGTTCTGGACCCTTCATACCCGACATCCGCCCTGTGGCCTGCTGCGTCGTCACCTTCTTGGGCTTCTTCTTCTTTTTTTCCTCCTGGTCCAAAGGCTTGTTGTTTCTAGCAGGGAAACTTTGTAACAAATTGAGCCATTTGCAAACGTGACACAAAGTGAAACAACAGCAACCAATAATGTTTGGCAGCGGACTTCTCTTTCTCTCGCGACGATGGACCATCTGGACACTACTTAAATCCTTTATTGCCACTCCCTTGAATCACCCCTGGGAGTAAACCAAAGATACATCTTTGCAACATCTGTGGGGTTGTGATGTAATCTGTTGTTTTCGCTTTCAATTCTGAACGTGTCTCTGTCGCCGTGATTCTCCTTCTCCAGCTCCTTGAGAATCCGTTGGGCCTCCACCAACTCCCCCGGCTTCAGCTGTAAAGCTAAGCCCCTAGCGATAGCTCGCCTGGCGACGGCTGGCGCTAGAGCTGCTTTGCCCTCAAACCCCAGAAGCTCAAGTAGATGAAAGTCATTGAAAGTCCAAATAGGCAAACACGACACTTCGACCATGCTCTCATCTCTGGACAACTTTTTGAGCTGGTCAACGAGTCGACAAGGTGTGATCCAAACACTTCCAAAGTTGAAATGCACTTGTTTCTAATAGCTTCTTGTTACTACTAGTAAGGCACCTGTTACTACTAGCGTGGCACTTGTTCCTAGTAGCATCTTGAATCTCCAAAGTTAGATGCAAAAAGTGTGGAGAGGTGTGGTGTGTGGAGGGATAACCTCACAAGGGCTTCTCACAGGACCCGCCTCAAGCGATCAATTTCTCGCGCTTGGATCGCGTCTTGGAGCTCCTTTCTGGCAGCCACCTCGCTACAGTTGGAGCGAACATTGAGCATCCTCACATTGCCTTGAAACAGAAAAAACAAGGGATGGTGATAGATGGGACGGATAGTGCGTTGTTTCTTTCAAGGTCTTCCGGAATCAGGACACATGATACTAGACACCATGCAAGACTTGCACGCACTTTGACAACTGGATCTCACACTTCATCCACCTTTGAAAGAAAATTGCCGAAAGCACAACGACCCAAACCCAATATTCAACGATTATATTCAACGATATAAATGACAACCGAACACTTTGAACATCTCTGTCATGTCGTGTCGGGTCGCCCTTTTCCCTCCCGCACCTTCTCTTCCTCCAGTACTCGACGCGCAGCTCCGAGCCCTTCCTCGTCCTTCAGGCGCAATGCCTCACCTTTGGCAATTGCAGTCCTGCAAGTCTCACCGGGTCGGCAACCACATCCCTCATCCCACCGAGATGCCTGTTTGGATAACTCCTTGCTTCAGGTTTGAGAGTTCCAAAGACTTCGAAATCCGAACACCGCCGCGATTGCAAGACTTTCCTCAAGCCCTCGGGATCGCGGGAAGCAACTGCGTCTCGCAGCATCTTCTTCGCCTCGTCCTTGCCAGGAAGCGATGTGAAAGCGAGGCAGCACGGCCTTCTGAGATCTTTTTAACAGTATGAATGAACATCAAAGAAACCTACAAAGTATATATATATATATACTGGAATCAACAAGATTCCTTTTCTACACATACTAGGCTGGTAAATAGAGGGTGTTTGGCATCAAACATAGAAGGGTAAGCGTAGAAGTATATTCATACACAATAGTTACCAATCATGCATGGAATTTACCGGAAAAGGTTTCATCCAAGAGTTTGATCTTGCGACACATCAATAGCCGTTTTTAAAGCTCTCTTTTGGGTGAGCATTTGATGATTCCACCGATTGCATTCATATCATCAAGACTGACTCATGAAGACGGTTTACACTCTGGGCAACGTTGGAGGTATATCTTTGATGATCTGATAGAAACGGAATGAACTTCTGTGATTTAGATCTGCTCTGTTGGATACCAAAAGGTTTCAGGTATGAACGAACCTCCTCGACAGGCTTCGGCCCGCCTTCTCTTCTTTCAAGACTTGGCGTGCGTCTGTGACCACTTGCTCTTTCATGTTCAAGGCATCAGCCCTTTCGAGGCCGGTCCTGAAAAAATAGAAGTCACAAGCAACTACCAGAAACCGTCCACCTTTCCGACATTACGAATGCATAAGTCAAAAAATAAGTCAATCAAATATTCACGACATCATTGCCGCGAGGAATTTGAGCATATTCAAAGGTTCATCCTTGTCGGGGACGCAACACCGTTCACTCGAATCAACTCCTCAACTCTTCAGGATCTCGTGAATCAATGGCAGCTTGGAGCTTTTGCCTCACTTCCTCCTACGGAGTGAAGGCTGGGGTGGCCCGCAGTGGTGGAACTCACTTGATCATATCATGAAATCGACTGACTCTCCCTATATTCCTCCTCAAATGCTAAGTTTCCCTAAAAGTCTAGAAACCGAACGCATAGTGCGAGCGCTTCTTCAAGGAAGCTTCCCCCGCCGCGTTTAGGGCGGCGGGGGAGCTTCCTGAGCTTCCTGGAAGAAGCGTGAGCTATCCTGCATCCTAGCTAGTAGCTACTTGTAGGTAGTTAGGCAGTAGGTATTAGGCAGTAGCTACTTAGCTTCTACTAGCTACCTACCTAGCCACTAGCTACCTCCTACCTCCGCGCCACCTCCGCCTACCCCCCAAAATCAAAACATCTTTTATGTTCTTTCCGTAATCCGTGGCACTGCTCTCTCAGCTTGTCAGGTGTCCTTTTCCCCGTCATCTACTTCCGGCGGGCTTTCCACATCTTCACGCAGCAGTGCCTTCTTTTTCCAGTATCTCCTAAGATGAACAGCTTGCCAAGGTGAAATGTCATGGTCACCTGGCTTTGGGAAGTTAACAACAGGACCACTAGCAGTGCATAACCGATACATATTAGAGTGCAATGACGGATAAGACATGTCAATGAGCTAGCTCCCTTGCGTGCAGCTTTCGAGTAAGCAAACAAACGCAAAAGCAAGGTGCTTGAATGCATAGTGCGACAGGATACCTGGCCAAAGGCAACGCTCTGAAGTCTTCCGAATTCCCAGTGCATTGGCATACCCATTCAAGTACATGCGGAGAATTGGTTAAGTCTCTCTATGAATATGGTCCGTCCTACATGAAATGCTATGTCTTGTTCCTCTTTCTTGTTCCAAGCAAACGTTGACAATAGTCAAATTTTCTAGTTACTGTAAATGGAGTGACTATAAGCAAAGCCAAGGAATCATTTGCGCACCGAGGTCGTCTCTCTCGCCTCCGATCAAAACCAGCACAAAGCCGCCCACGCTGGCTCCGGCAAAGGCGCCCCAATCCATGGCCCGAAACGGTGATTCCACCGACCACTTGCAGTAACAAGTGCAGCATCGTTTTACCACATTGTCAAGATCATTCAATATCAATATTAATGTCAACAAGTCAACAATGCGGCTTTTGCTTCTCAGTGGCCAATGAGTCATTAGACCTGGTTGCTTCATGTTGGACCCGATATCTGCAAACATGTTGCTGGAGACTTTGACAGCCAAAGTATGGAACAATGGCAAATCCAATTTACTTCGCAAAGTCTGATGCTTGATGACACTTGTATCATGTTCATCACCTCCAATCTCCTTAGCGCCAAACCCTGAGCGAATTGTCAGGCCTTCGTTCAAACGGAGGACCTGGCCAAAACACGTTTTGTGCAGATTCAACAATTTACAAAACTTAACAACCCCTGACATAATTAAACGTATATAGCATAATAGCATAGAGTTGAAAAATAGTCTATACCAAAAAGTCCAAGATGATGGTCCCAGTTAGCCCCTTGAAGTGGAAGTGAGGTGCGTCATACAACCGTACCTCCGCTGTTGGGCCAGGCGCAGTGAAGCGCCAAATCCGACTCCGCCAAGTTGGCCAAACTCGGGCGCCAAAGCAACCCGTCGAGATCAAAGGCCACACACCTCGAGTACTACCCAGGCTCAGTCAACTGGAATCTGATGGAACTAAAAAACAGCTGAGTCTCTTTTTAAAAACATTTTTTGATGTCGAAACACCATGAATCTGAAGCTGAAGTTGGTGAGTGGCTCTCCTGCGTGCTGTGGTGTTTTTGGCAAGATGGGTTTTTACATGTTTTTTCGATAGTGAAGAAATGTGTTCGTTTTAACAACCTGCTCTCAGCTCATTCACGACTAGAGACAAGTCACAAATGATAAAGCAACACTATACATATATATGTACCCAGAAGTCAAAAAGATCCCAAGAGCGCAAAAGGCTGCATGCAGGCTTTTTCCAATGCGCTTTGGTTGATGCTGGGGTCCTCCCCCAGACCCTGTATCTCTTGGTCAGTTTCAAAATGCCCTGGGCTTCGCCAGGGGGACAAGGGTGTGTCAGGCAGTAGGATTCGCCCACCGCTGCCAAACACCCGACTGTCCCCTGGTCCTCCCAGGGCCAATGGGCACCTGTCAAGGTGCCAACAAAAAGGGTCGCCCGCCGGATCCGGTCACGGGATCTTGGGTGGGCACCTAGGAAAATCCCGTCGAGGACAAAAGTCTTGTGGCAAAAGGAAAAACGAAGAGAGTCTCCGGGGCCGGTAGCCGGCAATCTAAGGAGAACCCTTCAAAGTCCGGATGAGTCAGTTCGTCCGCCCAGGTATTGTATTCGCTGGGGACGTGATTAGGGGCAATGCTACAGCCCTCACAATGAAGGAAGAGAACCAGTTCCATCAGCAGTGCGGCCGAGTAAGGTTTCTTGGCCGAGAGGTTGAGCAGGCTGAAGATGTTGCCTGAGTTGTCGCTGCCAACCGGGAGGCGAACTCGTCCCGGAAGCTGGCCCTGTTGGGCCACCAGATGCTTGCAGAGAAGTAGGGTGCCCAGGAGTTCCAGGGCAGCTATGCGCTTCTGAGCGTTGCCATCCTTGAATGTTGAAGGATGGGCGTCCGCTGTGATGGCACAGTGAAACCATAGGACCGTGTCCTTGGTGGGGTTCGGGGAGGCCGAGCACCAGCCCCCAACATAGGCTTCACCAGTCCTTGATGCACTGGCGTCGCTGCATCCCCACCAAGGAGACTTCGGCAAGAAGGGTGAGTATTGTTCGAAGGGATGCGTGAAGAGCTCCTTCAGGACAGAAGCCAGCATACGGACCACCTTGGGTGGGTGGCCCATGGTCCTGACCGCCATCTTCCAAGCCCAGCGTGGCTGGAGCATGGACTTGGTCAGGGGGCAGCACGCTGTTGCCCATTGGATCCGCCCCATTGCCTTCTCAATGGCTTTTGCTGACATAGGGGATCCGTTGGCAAGTTCCTCCAGGAGCTCCATGACCTTGATGTGCTTTGGGGCCGCCATCTGGACTCGAGGTATGGTCGGGTGGATCACGAACCCGAGCCAGGTATTGATTTCTTCCAGCTGAGGGGAGTTCCCAACGTCACTAATGTGCCCAAGAGAGCCGCGGTGAATTGCGGTCCGGTGGGGCGAAGTAACCAGCAGAAATCATCGACGAAGACAAAGCCCCAATCGATCTGGGGAAAGAGGTAGTAGAGGATCCGTAGGAGCAAGGCCGCCATTCTGCCCCACTAGAGCTGCGCACTCGCCACGCCGTAGGTACCCACTTTGTTGACCCACCATTCGTCCTCCAACTGTGCTACCTGGAAGCGCCAGTCTTGGGGCAGGACCTTGATTCGTCGGTGGGCCTTAGTCACATCGGCCTTCAGCAGGATCCATTGGCTGTCCTTGGAGGGCCAGTCCCAGGCTGGGGCTGGGTCGTCCGGGTCCCCTGCCCGTTCAAGCCCAAAGGCTCCTGGACTAGGCCGGGGACGTGCTCCGGCCTCAGTATGTCTGGCGGCATGAAGCCCATGGATGGCATGGACACAATCCAGGACTGTAGGTGCCGTGGTCCGCTCCTTAGTGTTTTGTTGGATCTTGGCATTTAGGCACCAGGTGCAGCGGGAGGGTTGCCAGCGCCGCCATCAGCAGGGTCGCTCAGCCCCAGGAGGTCCACGCCCATGTCCGCATCTTCTTGGTTGGCTATCTGGACCTTGAGTTCCTGCATGTGGCGCTCCAGCTGGCGAATCTGCTCTTGAGCATCCAGCTCGGAGACCAAGACAGGCTGCCCAAAAACGGCCAGTCCATGAGCCCCTTCCGCCTCCGCATGACGGAGGGCTGTAGACGCAGCATCCGCTGCCTGGTCCAAGCTCTCAATGCCCGGGCTACTGGCCGTACCGAATCCCCATCGTCTGGTTGGGCGTCTCTGAACGTCTCGATCATCACATACTCCGCTTCCATCGGGTGCGCCATTGCGTCGTGTTCAACAAAAACCGATGTACTGGGGAGTTTCTTCAAAAGTTCAGGTGCAATCCTGTGGATGATTGCCACCAACTTGAGCCAAAATGTCCCGGTGGGACATTTTGTGAACTTCAGTGAACATAAAACTTGCACCCGCAAGCTACATGCAAGTGTGAATATATATATATATATATATGCACACTAAGCAAAGTGCATATGTGAAGATTTTTTCCACTCTGGGAAAAACCAAGAATCTTGAGAGGGCGGAAGGAGCCAACGCAGCAACACCAGGCCTTGGAACTTCACGGCGCACTGCTTGCAGCCGAGCTCCTGGGGTTGCCAAGGTTGAAAGGAAACTTCCTGTTGCTAGGAACGTTTCTGTCGGAACAACTACTAAAAATGGTTACCAATGGTTACTTTGTCTTAGCGGCCTACCCCAAAAAACATATACCCCAGCAAGAAGCCATACACACAGGTAACTATATTGTTGTGGTTGTGTTTGTGTGCTTGTGTGTGTGGTTGTGTAGTCGAGGTTGTGCGTTTGTGGTTGCGTGTTTGCGATTGTGTTTTTGTGTGTTGTGTGTTTGTGGTTATGGTTCTTGGTTGTGTGTTGTGTGTTGAGGTCCGGTAGTGCCCACTGCGATCTCGCACTTGCTGTTGAGGTCCGTGACTGCCCACTGCCATCTGGCGCTTGCTGTTGAGGTCTGGGCCGCCGGAAGGAAGGAGCGGAGGAGGAGGAGGAGGAGGAGGAGGAGACTATCTGTAAAAATCTAACAACCCTCACGTGACAGGTGGAGACCAACGCTCTAAGAGGCCTTCCTCTGCCCAATCACTCGCTAAAACAATGTCCGAAATTGAGCCGCTAGCATTCTGTTTAGATTTTGGGGTTTGGTCGTGGACATTGGACATTCCCAAGCAGCCCGAATTTGATTGAATTTGTTTGAAACCCAGTCACATGCAATCACTCTTTGTAGTCATCTTGATTAGATTTGGGCAGCAACTCCAGATTCACCGGGTACCACTAGGAGCAAGGAAGGACGCTACTAGGGGCTCCTGGCCTTACTACTAGGAGCAAGGAGCAAGGACCTTACTAAAAGGAGCGAGGATGGTAGTAGGGGCTCCTGGCCATACTACTAGGAGCAAGGCTGCTACTAGGGGCTCCTGGCCACACACTACTAGGAGCAGAGACACTACTAGGGGCCCCTGGCCTTATTTCTAGGAGCAAGGACGCTACTGGGGGCGGGGGGGACGCTACTAGGGGCTCCTGGACACACTAGTAGGAGCAAGGGCGCTACCAGGGGCTCCTGGTTGTACTACTAGGAGCAAGGATGCTACTAGGGGCTCCTGGCCTTTTACTACTAGGAGCAAGGACAGTACTAGGGGCTCTGGGAGCAAGGACGCCTGGCCTTACTACTAGGAGTAAGGACGCTACTAGGGTCTCCTGGCCTTGCTACTAGGAGCAAGGACGCTACTAGGGGCTCCTGGCCTTATACTACTAGGAACAAGGACGCTACTAGGGGCTCCTGGCATTACTACTAGGAGCAGGGACGCTACTAGCGGCTCCTGGCCTTATACTACTAGGAGCAAGGAACTAGGGGCTCCTGGCCTTACTACTAGGAGCAAGGACGTTACTAGGGGCCCCTGGCCTTACTACTAGGAGCAAGGACGCTACTAGGGGCTCCTGGCCTTGCTACTAGGAGCAAGCACGCTACTGGGGGCTCCTGGCCATACTACTAGGAGCAAGGACGCTACTAGGGGCCCCTGGCCTTGCTACTAGGAGCAAAGGGCATCACTACTAGGAGCAAGGACGCTACTAGGAGCAAAGGGCATCACTACTAGGAGCAAGGACGCTACTAGGGGCTCCTGGCCTTACTACTAGGAGTAAGGACGCTACTAGGAGCAAAGGGTATCGCTACTAGGAGCAAGGACGCTACTAGGGGCTCCTGGCCTTACTACTAGGAGCAAGGAGGCTACTGGGGGCTCCTGGCCTTACTACTAGGAGCAAGCACGCTACTGGGGGCTC